ATATTTGTCAAGAAAATGTACTATGTTGATCAAAACATTTGATGCCTTTTATATTTTGAATATGTTTGATATTCTTTACAAGCAAAACATACAAAACCTCCTTTGTGTCAAAACTAAATACCTTGTCAATGTATAATGATATTCTTAAAAGATCTGGATGCTAACAAAACCTGTCTTTACCTTCTCCCTCAGAGAATTGAGTCAGTAGGCAGTCAAGGAGGTTATTCACCGGAGAACAGATTATGAATCTGGAGAGTGTCGACAACGTGAGAAAAACAGGACAGTCACTTGTGACTTCTTTCACTAGAAGTGAAGTTCCATATTATGGACCTTTCAACTGTATTTAAATGTGAGGATTTGGAGTTACTTTAAGCTGATGCCACCTAATATTTCTTTGTTTTAAGTCAGAAATCAACAATAACAACAGAAATCCTTGGGAACCCGAGACTTCGGAAAGGCATTGATGTCCAGACACAGGTAATATGGACTCAATACTAAGTATCCACTGAGAAAATTTATGAACTTTCACTTCCAACTCTGTAAATGAACTTGATTAACTTAGGGGTAATTTGGGGGTTCTCAAGATCCAGTTCTTATTCTTTTGCCCCATTTCTCCTTCTACTCAGAAAATCTTTGCAAAGCAGAAAAGTGATCAAGACATTTCCCATCCCCAATTCTTCTGTCTGGAGAGCACTGGCCAAATGACATAGAGTGAAATCGTCTATCCCAGTGATTTAGATCATGGCCTGCCTCCCCAAGTTGATCTTATTTTATTTCTTCCTGTAGTCACAGGAATGGATTCATTACGTATTCCCAAGTCTCTCTAGTTCTGAGTTGAATTGTTCAAAGTCCCCTTGCCTGAATCTCCTTCTTGTCCTTGTCCCCTTAGCAAACTTTTACACAACATTCAAAGCCAACACTTTCTTCACAAACAGCACCTTTACAGCTACGGCAGGACTGTTTCATCAAAGAACTAAATGCTAAATGGCTCCAAGAGAAATAATCTCTTTCTTTTTTCCTGACTTCCCAATTGAAAGAATATGATGGTTTATATCCATTGTGAAGTATATAGAGGCTATTTTACTTCAGGAAACAAGCATTTAAAAATTTAGTTATTTATATACAACATGAGCACCAAGAGAAAAAAGAGACTATTATATCTCAGATTGAGAAATTGATGGCTTTCTAAATTCTTAAATTTCTCAAAAAGGAAACAATCTATCCTTATAACTAAAAAAAGAAAAGTTACCTGAAAATCATCTGATCCTCACCAACTTTAGCTTAAGATATCACCTGCAAGGTGCAAGATGTATTATTCATAATGACACTTTAAGTTAGTGTAAAGACCTAGAATGAGATTCAAGCAAGGAATGCAATTTCACACGTACTTGATGTGCAGCGGGGCTGCCATCTGGATCTAGATCTGCTTGGCTCCTGAGCATATCCTGCACCCATCCTTTCATGTGGTCTCTCAGGCGACCTTGTCCTGGGTTCACAGGTGGACCGACAGTACTTCCCATGTATCTGTATAATGTGGGGATGAGATCCTAACTCTATCCAAGTCATTCAAAATAATTTTCTTCATGAAAAATGGGGATTAATTATATAAAGACAAATTCCATAGCTGAATCAAGAAGAGAGATAGAACCCCTTCAAAATAATAACATGCATTCATAAAAGGCCTCCTTAAAATAAACTTCCCATCTTCCATAAGGCTCACCAGTAGCCTTTCTTATTTTTGGTTCAACACCTTAGAATATTATTTATATTTATCTAAGTAAAAGTCACATTATTGCAGAATTGCAGTATACTACCGCTGAGCTACTAAAAACCTTCAGATTTCTTAATTTCCCTGGTTGATTTAGTTGGGGGAGGGGGCTTACACTGTGGTACTGGTGGTGGTCTTGGTTCAAATAACTTTAGGGAGAGGTATCTAAAATTGTGTGTCTTTATTTCATACACATTTTTTCACTCATGTTTATCTTGAAAAACAGCTAATTTTATATCCTGATTGGAATAAGAAACAGGGCTCAGTAATAGTGGGGTTTTTTTTGCACATAGTAAATGCAAGCTAAATTAGAGACTTAATTTGAAAACTCCATTTTCTTACTTCAGTATGAGACTAAATGTAAGCTTAGGTGTGTCATAATGGAAAACTTTCAGCAGTATTAAGATGGAGAATCACCACCATTTTAGAGGTAGTTGTATAGACACAGATTCAACAAAAGAAATAATTTTAACTGAAGATGATTTGGAGTTAAAATTTAGTACACTGTGTGGTGGTTCAAATCCACTCCCATAGGTTCAGATGTCTGAGTATTTGAGCTCAGTTGGTAGGGTTGTTTGGTTAAATTTAGGAGGTGTTGTTTTGTAAGAAGAGGTATGCAATTTATTGAGAATTTATTATTGAGAATTCAAAGACTCACAATCTCTCCTTTTTTTTCTCTGCTTGTGTTCTGGTTCAAGTACTGAAGTCTCAGTTTCCTGTTCAAGCCACCATGCCCCTGCATTTGGCCATCATCCGCTTTTAACCCCCTGGCAACTATAAATCCTTATAAATTCTTTCTTCAATATGTGCCTTGGTCATAGTTCTTTTTCTCAACAGCAGAACAATAACTAATACATTGTGTAAAATACATTCTCAGGAAGACCTTCTTTCTTTTAAACATTTCCTGGCTATTCTTATAAATGTTTTAGTCCTGTTTACCACATGTTCACTTTGGAGAAAATAGGTACTTGAGTAATTTATGCAGAATAAAGAGAAGGAATATGTACAATAAAGTCTGTACAGGAAAATAGAAAACATTTCCATTCTAGACACAAATGAAGCTTTAATATAACTGACTGTAGTTCATGTGAGGTTCACACCAACCAATTAAAGCTCTGACAGTTGTCAGAACAAGAGCTTACTTTAAATCCCAAAGCTGATTTTTATCAATGACTTAGTGAAGTTATTAAAGGGTATCTCATCCAGCACGTGTTGGATGTTCATGAGTTCTCCATCTTCCCTATAACAGAAAGCCTAGTTCAGCTTCTATATAAATAAAAATGAGACCCATGCTAAATAGAAATAATAATTAGCTGAGGTGACCATTCTGTATTAAGTGGTTGCTGGTGATAATTTCTTCCCAAGTTAAAGAACACTTTATGGATTGCCAGAAAGGGGCAGAATGCATGATATGCACATTGTGCAATATGTATTATCCTTACCCTCTTTCTGTTCTTATTAAGTGTCTCTATGAAGTTATAAAAGAATAAGTCAGCAGCAAAGCTGACTCAACAAGAGCAAGTCAGGATGCTTGCTTCATGAAAAACCTATGTGGAGATCAGTGTATCTGATTCAGTACAATGACAAGTCAAAAACTGTGAACTAAATTTGGTTAATATGTCCTGCAGCCTGAAGGAAGCACCATTGTTAAGAGGTCAGCGGTTACTGATTAAGTTTCCTGCAGAAACTAACAAAGATAGAGTGAGATAAATATTATTTTGGTTTATTTATCATCTCAAGAAAGTGCACTATTTTTCCTAAGGGAGCATTAAATATACAATTTGTCATTTTAAAATAAGAGATATTCTGATTGAAAAAAATGGTAACCTACATACTTCTAGAATATATGTTGGTAATACGATAAATACTAAATAACAACATTTTAGTGAACTTATAAATGTTCTATGAGCTCTAAAGGAGTTCCACAAATTAAACAAGTGGAATTCAGGACACAGAGAGAAACAGAAGAGTGTTAGAGACCAACTTCAACAAAGATACCACTTACCAAGTTAGAGGCATGGGATTAGAAAAATAAGTACAGAGAATGAAGATACGAGTGAAAAGAATAAAACAGAAGCACAGGCTAGTACTGGAAGGGAGTTCCACTAATTATTGAAAAGCTAAAGCATTTAATTTTTTATACACATTTATACCCAAATAAAATGGGGGGAGAAGGCAAAATACTGTTTCAACATGATACATAGGACGGCTAGAACAATTACTTGCTTCAGTACTTTGAGACAACAAGCCACTAATTCATGAGAAAAGCATTCTGTTGTTTAGGTAGTGAATCACTGCCCCAGAACAAGTATTTTGAAGACAACAACTTCTTAGGTGAAACCTCTTCAATTAAAAGAAGGAAGAGAAGTATGCTTGAATTCTCTGACCTTTGGTCAGGGTGGAATGGATCTACCTGTAGAGGCCATCTTAATGTCCAAAACACCAAGTAACCTCAACTTAGGTTTGAGTGTCTAGCTAGACTTGATGTTAAAAGCTTCAAATATGCTTAAACTCTCTGACCTTTGGACATGGTGAAAATCGGTTCACATTTTTGAGCCTTCACAAAGAGTACCCTTCCCAAAGAGTACTTTACCAATAGCAGGATTATGAATGACACACATAAAGACTCATTTCCCATTTTATGATTCCGTACGAGTTAAATATTATTCCCTAGAAAGACTCACTATTGCTGCATAACTTACATATTACCACCCCTTCTACTGACAAAAAAGAAAGCAATAACTCCAATTACATCTGAAGAGATAATTCAAAACAGATTTCTATACTTATTGAGCTGTAAAGTCATTGATTATTTATTATAGACAAGAAAGCATAATTCAGTCTCAAGTTCGTTAGTTTATAGAGTCGTTAAGTAATGTTTTGTTAATTTGCTCACATCCCAGAAAATGAAATGAAACAAAAAAACAAATACTAAATACTGATACATCAAAACCAAAAATATAAAGTTACATGTTCTGGCCATCAACACAAAAACCTTCATTCAACACTTATACTTATGTGTAGACTGAAAGCAGGCAGGCCTCACCTCTTAGAAGATTTTTGTACTTTCCTTGTTCAATTTTTTGTTCCAGTATTGTCCTTATGATTTGTGCTAAAAATACAAACTATACCCTTTTGCTTTCTGTTCATTATTTCATAGGATATCCAATATCCTAACATATTAGACAAGTAAAGAACAGGAGACAAGGAAATGACACCAGTCTACCCTTACCTGAAGGCCTTCGATGGCAAGTCGCAGCATGCTGGGTGTGAGCTTGGAGGCTTGCTTGAAGGTAAAGTTACTCCAGTCTATGATCAAAACAAATCCATTTACCTGCAGCTCGGGATCTTCAATCATGGCTTCTAAAGAAAGTAAGATGGCACGCAAAATATCCACCAGTGTGTACCTAGCAGCAACAGAGAAGGACTGAGTTAAAGCTACCAGCCACTTTTCATAGCTGCGTGGGTAAAAATCATTAAGGTTTTATATTTGGGTGGAGTTTGGAGGATGTGTTGTTTATTTGTTTGATTGACCTTTTTTTTTCATTAGCAAACTAAGGATTCTCTTTTAAAGCCCTCAAAATTTTCCAGGAAAAGATTTTCATGCAAGGTTTTAAGAAGAGAGTGACTTGAAATGAGCCATGAGAACAAAGTAGAGGTTGGCAGGCGGGGACTGGAGCAGTGGCTCAACAGTTCAGAGGGTTATGAACATTTACTTTGCTTGCACAACAGGCAAGTTCAGTTTCCAGCACCCGTATCCAGTGGCTCACAACCTTCTGTAACTTCATTTCTAGGAGAGACCCAATGCTTCTTGCCTCTGATGGTTCCTACACTGATGTGCACATACTTCCCCCATACATAATTTAAAATAATAAAAAACTTTAAGAAAGAAGCATATATTCTCCCCTAACAAACGACAATGTTGCTTTTTTGTAACACTACAGTTTATTTAAAATTTTGTAGTATTTTTATTTTCTTTTAGGCCCTCCATGGATCTGAGCACTCAATCAACTGAGGATCAAATACATTTTGTTAATGTTTAAACCATGTGCTGTGGGACAATTCTTTTGTACACTGTAAAGATTTGTCACTTGTATTAGTTTAATAAAACATTGATTGGCCAGTAGCCACATAGGAAATATAGGTGGGGCAACCAGACTAGGAGAATTCTGGAAAAAAGGAAAGGCAGAGAGTCAGTTGCCACCCAGATGCAGTGGAAATAAAATGAAAATGCTGCACTGATAAAAGGTAACAAGCCACGTGGCTAAATATTGACAAATAGAAATGGATTAACTTAAGCTAGAAATACACCTGAACCTTTCACTGAACAATGTTGCATTTAATATATCGTCTATGTGATTATTTGGGTCTGGGTGGCCAGGAAATGAAAACGCAGTCTGTCTACAACCATGAACACGTATGGGCACTCTTTATTATCCAATAAATACAAATATTTGCATAGCTTTTTTACTTAATTAGACATTGTAAGTCATCAAGAGATACTTAAATAGAGACACTAAGATATAGATTAGAGGCTTAGAAATCACCAAAAATACACTGCCATTTTAGCAAGAGACTTAAGCATGCTAAAATTTTGGGTGCCTATGTAGAATGCTGAAACCAATGCCCAAAGACACTGGGAAAGAACTAAACTTGAGAAAAATTGAGAAGATTCAGATTCTCATCCAAAAAACAAGAACACTGTATGTGAGAGCTATGTATAAAAATCACAAGTCCTTAACTACTTCTACTGTGTTTCTCTCATAATATGAAAAATAGAAGATAGGAGGAATGGAATTAGAAACAATAAATAAAAACAAAAGGAAAAAACTAAATAAATCCATACCTCTATTATAAACTAAGCTATCCAAATTTAAGGATTAGTATCTTTAGTTTTACTGCCTTACACTTAGCACTGTGCCCTCACATATTTTAGAAACTCAATAGGTGCACACACTCTCCTGTAAAACAGCATCAAATATGAGTGTAAGGACACTAGACTTAGGTTAAGACATGGCCTCAGTAAGGAAAGTAAAAGGAGGAATCACATGGCTAATTTGAGAAGTAGTTTTAGAGGTAATCTTAGGAAAAGTTGGTAGACTGAAGAAAATAAAGGCTGCCATGAAGAGTATAGCTTCAGTCACCGAGAAGTAGTAAAAATCTTTGCTAAAATCCAACAATGTAGGTAAATAAAGCAAGGCAGTGGTTTGAAAAGAATTTTTGAAGACAATCTGTTGTAGTTGATAAACACAGTGTACCCAGAAAGATACATTAGTAAAACATTTGAGAAAGTATATCTTTAACTCAGGAAAGAGCTCAGAGTCAAAAATGCTGGAATCAGAAGCAAATAGACCCTATAATCAAATAAGTTAAGGGATAAGACAACACTAAAAATTAGTCTAAGAAAGTAATTGCTAGGAATAGCATACTTTAAAATGAGTCAGAAAATGTATGAACATTGTTGACAATTTAATTGTTAAGCAGTAGTATTTGATTTTGATTCTTTTATCTAGATAAATTCACCTGGAGATTCCCAGTGAAAGCTATAAAGAAACTGGGAACTTGGGGCAAAGAAGAAAATGGAGAGTGGGTAAATTAGGAGTAGAAACTTTCATCACTCAGTGAAAGAGAAGGGATTGCAGGATGACCGTGTACACTTAAAAGGAAGTTATTCTCTCTTTACTTGTAAAAATATTTGGAGGCTGATAGAGAAAGTATATTAGTTTAGAAGTAAAAAAATAGTTAACACTGGATCTTCAATCGATTTCTTACCCCCTTGAGATCCCATTCCCTGCCTGTAAAGCTAAGACTTTGAACCAGACTCAGCTTTATTATTCTAACCTTGACAGAGCAATGCCATGATCTCAGAAAATTTCAAGATGGAATCTCTATCACACCTATGGTAAGCTGATCTGTGTGGCCCCAATGTAGCGCTGGTTTATAATTCTGAGATGCACTTCCTGTATCTGAGAAAAGTAGTAGTAACTGTATATCACTGGGACTGAGACTGCAAAAACAAAATGATCACTCTGGTTTTATCTCACAGATAGGCAAACAAATAAGTGTAATAAATAATATAAGTAAACTTAAAAACAGAAATCACATGGTTATTTTAACAAAAGCACAAAAGGACTTTGACAAAATCCAGCATCATTTCACAATAAAAGTCATAGAGAGGATAGATTTAGAGAAATCATACCACAACAAAATAATTGTGATAAAGCCCATACTAACATAGTTGATGCAGTCCACTTAAATAAGGAACAAGAAGGGGCTTTATTCTCACTACTGCCCTCCTGTTCAATAGAATGTGAAAAGTCAAGCAATGCGATAGCAAAGAATTTTAAAAGGATACAAATAGGAAATTTAGTCATGCTCTCCATCAGCCAATAATTTGATTCTGTAAATAAAATAAGTAATGAGTTCACCAAAAACTTCTTGAAGTCCTTAAACTTTCAGCAAAGTAGCAGGATGCAAAATTAAAACAAAAATTAGTAGCCTTTCCACATACCAAGACCAAGCATATTAAATGAGAAACTGGGGAACTGCTCTCATTCATAATAGAAAAACAAATGAACATACACAAAGTAAAAGCACAAGAAATGTATATAGATGCATAAACACACACATCTGAAGACAAAGAAATCTTAGAAAAAAAAACATGAAAACACAGTATATACACAAAGGCCCTATGAGGTTTTAAAAAAATACATCTTAACTCAACATTATGAGACAAAGAACTTCTAACAATGATGTTGAGTTTGTTTTGTGTTGGCCATCTATGTCTGGCATGAGACCTGCCCTTAAGAACTGTTTATTTCCCTAAGACTCACTTAGATAAAACGAATGTTTTTATTTGCAAGTGGTTATCAATTGGATATAGTTTCTTGGATTAGAGATTGGGACATGTATTCACTTCTTTCTGTTCCTGGAACCCATCTGGTGCAGAATCCTACAGGCTCTGTGCATGCTGTCCTAGTCTTTTTGAGTTCATGTGTGCATCATTCAAGCTGTGTTAGAAGGCTTTTTTTCCTTAGTGTTCTCCATCCTTCTGGCTGTGGATGAGAGAAGTGGTGGGGAGAAATTGGAAGGAGTAGGAAGAGGGGAAATTGTAATCATAGTATATTGTATGAAAAAATATATTTAATAAAAAGAAAAAAATTTGAAGTAAAACTAACAAAAAAATTAAATATTTGTAAGAAATTAAGTTAGCCCTAAAGATGCAAAAATCTCCTATACTGACAGAGTAGAAGAACTGACATTATAAAGATGATCAGCTTACAAAAAGCAATGTACAGATTCAATGCAATACCAATCAAAATATCAATTCCATTCTTTACAGAACTAGATAATAATCCTCAAATTCATATATAAACACAAAATTCCCGTACATCAAATGCAACCCTGGGAAAAATAGTGCTGGGAGCATTATAATATCCAGTCTTGAGATTGAAACACAGAATAATAATAAAGCAGCATGATGATCTCACAAAATAGACACATGTATTAATGAAGTAGATAGAAAATTTATAACTAAGATCACCCACCCACTGATTTGTTTCACAAAGAAGCCAAAACTACACGTTGGAGAAAATGCAGTGTCATCAACAAACAATGTTGGGGAAAATAGATGGTATCTACATGTGGAAAAATTAAACTGGACCTTTATCTCTTACCTTTCATATAAACTAACTCCAAATCAGCTTCTATACAGCAAAGAAAATAGTCAATTGAGTGGAAAAACAGCTTACAGAATGAGAGAAAAATTTTCCCATGTACCCTTGGACAGAGAATTAATATTATTGAAAAATCACAAAAATGAAACATAAAACATCAAGAAAATAAACAATCAAGTCAAAATCAGGCTGTAAATCTGAAGAAAGAGACCCAAAGAAATGAGATACTAATAGCTAAAACCCATTTTGAAAACTTTCAAGGGAATGCAAACTAAAATTGTTTTGAGTTTTTATTTCTCCCATTACAGAACAACTATTATCAAAAAGTCAAATGACAACCAAGACTGGAGAAGGTGTGAAAAAAGAACACTCGCTCATTGGTGGTGGGAGTGTAAACTAGTGTATCCACTATGGAAATCAACATAGAGATTCCTCAAAAAAAAACTAGAAATGGAACCATATGAGACATAACTTTTCAACTCCTGGGCATATACCCAAAGGACTCTACCGCAAAGATGGCTGCTCACCCATAACCATTATTTTCACTGTTTACAACAGCTAGGAAGTGGAACCAGTCTAGATGTTCATCAACTAACGAATAGCTAAAGAAAATGTAGTTCCTACACCATGTAGTTTTTTATTCAGCTGTACAGGAAAATGACATTATGGAATTTGAGGTCAAATTGATACAACTGTAAAACTTATACTGAGTGAAATGACCCAGACCCTAA